GTATTTAGTACAATTAAATAATACATACTAATGTACAGAATTGATTAGGGGACGAGTTACAAGATGGTGGACATGCCGATCCACATTCGTTCCACTCTTGATTTCTCCCGCACTGACCGGGCCGTGCGGTAGTCGTGCCTGTGCATATACAGTATTATATAAGTCAAGTTCAATTATAACATTAAAGTTATACAATTAAAAAAGGGAATTAAGATAATTGTTTATCGAAAGATCGAATTCAGTCGTGGACTGAAGAAACTCAATGAATTCATGCGAAAACTTACTGCAAAGCACTCCAATCATCACAAACAATACGAAACTAGCGTAAGACATACTTTAATGTTAATAATTCTTACACTTTATTTCATGAACTGATCTTACCGGCGAAACATACTGCGCTTTTATACCCATCTGTTTATTAGCAAACCTTGTCCAGCAGCTGGTTTTAAAAAATAATATCTATTGTCTCTCTCTCTAATTACGTCAGCACAGATCTTCATGCGCATGCATACACATAAAAAAACTACGTTCATCATCATTAACAACCTTACTCAGAATTTCAACATAGTGTGAGAAAATTAATGAAACTTCATCTTGATAGCATGTAATTATTGTTTATTTTTATCGTTACGTAAAAAGACTGACTACAGGGTCTAAAATTTAGTTAAATATAGATCCGAAAATAATTATATTAGATCATCACAATAATTACGTAAGAATCTCGAGTATGAGAAGCAATGCTGCAAAAAATTTTGACAACAATTAGTTTGAATGTCCTATATAATTGTTTTTTGACAGTCAACAAAATTATTTAGATTTGTATCTAGCTAAATTTTTATATCCTACGACAAAGTCGTCTTTTTTATATATGTTATTATCTTTATTCTATCTTTTTTTTTTGTAGTTTCTAAGTGGAAAATTATTTTACAATTAGATTCATTAATGCATGGGTTTCAGAAATAGCAATTATTAACTGAAAAAAATATTTGCAATCTCTGTGTAAATCTCCGTGTAAATCTGCTGTCTACTTTACTCAGATATCTGCACTCAGATCTCTGCAACATCATCACTCAGATATCTGCAACAACTCGTTTAGATGCCTCATTTGTAATAATTCTTTATTTCCTGGATGGTATTCCCCATTTATATATTGTCTTTGAGATTACGTGTTTTTTTTTTTCGATTCATTATATGCTAACGATTAAAAATTCAGTTCGTCAGAAAAAGCAAGATCTCACGTAAATACATCATCGTTACAACTTTTAAAACAGCGAACTAAATTGCTGATATTCAGCAATTAGAGTCGAGACGACGCAGGCAGGACACAACTCTTGTTCAATCAGTCGGGAAATTTCAGACTTGCAAAACGTGTACGTTGTGTCCACTTTGTCGGCGTAAGCTCGACGGCCGCTCAATCCGACCCCTCCCCGAATACGCTTTTACCCTAAATGCTATTTCGCCATCGGCGAGATGGCCCAAGTGAATCAGTTTGACCTTTCTGCTCCTCCCTTCATTTTCCTGGCATATAGTTTTTTTTATTTCGCGTAAAGAGCGCACAGATTCGAGTATTCGGCGATTCGAATCGAATTTATTAGAACGGGAAATTAAATTATTGTTTAACAACTAAGAATGGCTCATATACAACTAAAATAATTAGCTATAAAGAACATTTAAGCTTACACTGGATGTGAAAAATATTAGTTTTTAAAAAACAATGGCCTTAATAATAAAATAAAATAAACATAATGTTAAACGTTTCGATCTTTCATTAGATCATCCTCAGTAT